TTATGTGAGACAATAGATATAATATAGAGATATTCTATATTATTCTTGTTATCAGTCTCAATATGATAACCATTGCAACGTATATCTTTAAAACTCAGTAGATTTYTCTTTGATTGACTAGAGAACAATGMATTGTCAATTGTAAATTTTGTTCCTCTAGGCAAAATTATGTCTGCTTTTCCAAAACCTTCAATCAAGTTTGCAGAACCTGATATAGTATTGACTTTTGCTTTCAGCATTGTCAATTTAGAAAAATATTGTCTACTTTTCAGTATTGTGTGCGTAGTCGCACTGTCTGCCAGACATAGATCACCATTGCTCATTTTCGAGTCATCCAATATATGAAAACTGTCCATGCTTCTTCATTAAACAAAATAATTAAAATAAGAAGAAGGAAGAAGAATAATACAAAACATACATAAAAGATATAAAAAAAACATTAGTTCTGAATATTCTCAAAATCAAAAGAAGCACTTGCTATTCTATCCATTGTGCTCACTGTGCCAATTTGTTCCCCAGGAGATTCAAGAAAGTCAGCCAGATCCAAACTTGTAATATTGACAGTGTCAAAGATATCACCATCCTGGTAAGCAAGATTTGCTTCCACATTTTTTCCTTTTTCTTTCAAGGAAGCTTGATAAAGATTCACTAAGTGTTTCGATGTACGACAAATATGTGCCCAATGCCCAGTCATACCGCATCGGAAGCACTTATTTTCAACACTTCTGGAATTCTGATCTTGTGGAGCTTTTTCTTTATGATCAACATTTCGTGTGGTTCTTTTAAAATTTGGACGATTATAACGCCCACCACRAAATGAAAAATTATTTCTTCCTCTGCCACGGTCACGCCCTCGACCACGACCTCGACCTCGACCACGATTATTGAAATTTACAGCATTCGCTTCTGGAAATGGCGTTGCTCCCGTTGGTCGAGATTCATGATTTTTCATCAATAGCTCATTATTTTGCTCAGTAACCAGAAGACATGATATGAGCTCAGAATATTTCTTAAAACCTTTCTCTCGATATTGTTGTTGCAAGAGTATATTCGAGACATGGAAGGTTGAGTATGTCTTTTCTAACATATCACTATCAGTAATTTTTTCTCCACATAACTTCAATTTCGAACTGATTTTGAATAGTGCAGAATTATAATCACTTACTGATTTGAAGTCTTGGAGCCTCAAATGCATCCATTTATAACGAGCTTTAGGAAGAATAACTGTTTTTTGATGATCATACCTTTCTTTTAAATTTTGCCACAAGGCAAGGGGGTCTTTTATTGTCAGATACTCCATTTTCAACCCCTCGTGAAGATGGTGACGAAGGAAAATCATGGCTTTTGCCTTTTCCTGACTTGTGGTTGTATTTCCTTCTTTGATGGTTTCTCCTAGGTTCATGGCATCAAGATGGATTTCAGCATCTAGTACCCATGACAAATAATTATTGCCATTGATATCAAGAGCGGCAAATTCTAATTTGGTCAAATTTGTCATGGTGGCACTATCACAAAAAAAACTCAAATTAGGGATTTAACATATGAAAACAACATATTACTTGAAAAATAAAAATTAAATTACCTACCTTCGGAACCTACCTTCAACAGGGGAAATCACAGAGGCTCGTGCTGATAACGTGTTGTAAAATTGAGGAACAAAACTAGGCAACGTCGGGGAAATAAAATAAACAAAACAATTCAAATAATAAAGAAAATTCAAAATTCAAAATGACATTTCCCACCAATTTTCAAACTTGATTTCCCACCAAATTTCTCATTAATTTCTCACAAATTCTCACCACTAATTTCTCACAAAATCTCTCTAGTAATTGAGCACCACATTGACCTTATTTATAGGCCATGAATAAGCATGTGGTGTGATTTACATGACACTAATAATGTCTAAAATTAAGATACATAGGGCATTATGATTTCAACACATGGTGCATGGATAATGGAATATATGAGGTTTATGAATAAAAGACACATAGAGAACATATGGAGCATGGATTTTGAGACACCTCAAAATTGGTCACTAAGCAAGGGTGAGTGGACATCTATTTAAAAACTCATAATAAAAAACACTTTTTGGAGAAGTAATTGATAGGTGTTTTACCCAAAATCATTTGATTTCATTCTTTAATTTTTCATCTCTTTCCATAATTACTCTTTACACACTTCTTCACATTAATTTTTTTCCCCGCACATTTTCTCTCAACTAACTTTTTGTTAATTGTTATCATTTTTTTGTATTTTTAATTATGGATTAAATATTAATCCTTTTAAAAAATACTTCCTCTAACCGGATAAAAATACTTTTGAAGTTAATTACTATTTGTGTTTAATTTTAGGAGTTTCAAATTAAAATAATTTTTTTTTTCAATTTTAAAAGCTTTTAAGAGTTAAATTTCATTTATTGTCACTTTGAGCATTGCTGATCAACTGGTTAAGACACCTATCTTCGATTAGAAAGTCATGAGTTTGAATCTTTACCTCCACATATTATACTAAAAAAATATTCATTTCTCAAAGTTTGATAATTTAACGACCTCATCCGCCTTAGTAACAAATGTTTAATTACTTCTTAGGAAAGATATTTGATTTGGCCATCATAGATTAGTTTATCAATCTAGAAAAGAATATATGGCAATATTGCAACTTGCAATTCATGTCATGATCAAACAATATATATCATCTTTCCCTCTCTCTACAAACACCATATTGAGAGAGGCCAAAAAAAAGCCTTCCCTACAGAAGAGAGGCTAATTACTATTATAGGATGAAAATCTTAGCTATGAAGAATGCAAATTTCTTTTGTTTGAAGGAATGATTTTTTCCCTTTTTTTTTCTTTCCTTCTAATAAATGATGTTATTGGAGGAGACTCCATCATGATGAAAGAGAGATCAATGTCACCTCAAGCCATAATAACATATATACTTTTCAGGTTTGCTAGGGATAATGAATGCATCTAAAAGAGTTTTTTTTTTTTTTGAAGAATTTGAATTTTTTGAATGGATCAATTTTATGTTTTTGGTAACTCACATATAACATAAGATAAAACTTATTAATATCTAATAATGATCGATAAATACGTTTTAAAAGATCTATAAGAATTAAATTGTAATTAGACTCAAAATATATAGAAACCTAAATAATAGCATTTTTTATATTATAACTATATTTTTGACACAATATACATAAATATCATAGGTAACGCATGATGATATACATATATTAGACTAAATTAGTGTTAGTCATTAAGTCGTGATATAAGTATGAGCAAAGCAAGTGAACATACATGTAAAACATCGAATCAAAAGATGAGTTTTTTTCTTTTCCCTAAACATGGTGTAATGCCCTAGGCCCAGGATTTGGTCCTAATCGCCCTAGCATTCTGCTGCGACCTGGTTACGTCACCGTCTTGTTTTGAGCTACTTAGAAGAGCGTAGACTATCCACGTTCTTACGATTGAGTTATAAGGTGCATCTTGTTAGTATAGATAGTGATTATCAATTTTTTTAATCATTTCTTAATCATTCTTCTATGATCTTAGGATCCCTCTCATACGGATGTGATATCGATTTATTCATGTATCGTTCCTCTCTAATCGAGCGTCACTCATAGAGTTTCAAAATAATTAAGTTGTGGTTATATAAAAGGTGATGAAGATGCATATATTTCAAGATGATTATGCACAGCTTGGCTCTCAAGATGATTTTATAATTGATAAAAGTATCAAATTGAGTATATATATATAAAGTTTAGAAGAAAAGCAATATCTAAATTTTATGTAGGCTAAATTATACAAAATGGCCTTAACACGTGTACTTGATTTCAATTTGGCCTTTTAACGTTTTAAAAACTTTCAATTTTATGTTTCCTCAAAAAAAAAAAAAAAAAACTTTCAATTTGGCACTGACTCTTTTGTCAATAAGTTGGCAGTCTGGGCCTTTGGGGCTTTGAGCCTTTGGACCGTAGGAATGAGTTTTTCTTAGGTTTCATGGGCAAGTTAAAGAGGACATCGAAGAAAGTTGAGAGTGGCCCATTTTTTTTAATATATAATTATTTATGGGATTTCTAAAAAAAATAAATTGAAAGTAAATTAAACAAAACCTCATTTATCAAGTACAACATGTGGGTATGAATTTGAACTCACAATTTTTTAATTGGAGATAAGTAATTTAACTAGTTGAGTTATGCTCAAATTTGTCCATTTATCATTCATTAATTTTAATGGTTGATTTACATGGAACCTTAGATTCAAATTATCATCCCACCTAACCATTCGAATTAAAGAAAAAAAATTAGTAAGTTGGTTAGGCTAATTAATAATTAACCAAAATTTCAATTGGGATAAATTAAAATAATGGGTTCTATAAAAACAAAAAATAATTCTGTTTAGTTTCCATTTCCAATAGCAAAGAATGTTTCTTTTATGAGAAACCATAATTTTGGCAAATTCAGTTGCAAGTTTTAGTTCCAAATCCGACATTTGAGGATAACCTTAATCTCCATGAACTCTTGTCTTTATAACCCACCATTTTCTTCAGCCTCTCAATCTCTCACTCACTCACCAAAATCTGAAACACAACCAAAAGCAGAAGAAAAAAAAGCTTTTGAAGATATCATTACTCATAATGGCTGATGATCCTCAAGACAAGGTTGAACGTGACCGCATTTTCAAGCGCTTCGACGCCAATGGCGACGGCAAGATCTCTGCAGCCGAGCTCGGAGAAGCCTTGAAGACGCTCGGCTCCGTCACCGCGGACGAAGTGCAGCGGATGATGGCCGAGATAGACACCGATGGCGACGGGTTCATTTCGTATGAAGAGTTCACAGATTTTGCCCGTGCCAACCGTGGATTAGTCAAGGATGTTGCAAAGATATTCTAAGTGTTTGTATACGGCTTTTTTGTTGATTTCTTGTTCTGTTTTGGTCTCTTTTTTCTTTTTCTTCATCATTTTTACGTGTATCTTGTCGTGCTTGATTTGATATTTGCTTGAAAAAACAAATCAAATGGGCTCCATTCTTAACATTTTTCTTCAAAAGAAATGCGGTTTTGGTTGTTAAGCTGTAACTTCCATGAATCTGTGTCCACCAACCACTCCCTATCAATAATTCTCTTCCAAAAACCTTCAACTTTAACTTTGAAAAACTTGGAATTTCTAAAATATTCTTGGATGGTATAAAGAAAAATGTTGTAAAACTAGATGGAAAAATTAACAAGCTATAACAAGCAAACTCGCCTATTAAATATAGACTCGACTTTTGCTTTTTCAAGTTGTGGTACAAACCACCTCCAAAAGACACTAAAAATTCAAAGGAAAGTTATTGGATGCATTTCTCAATGGGAAATGGGGAGAAGAAAATGGAAGATCTGTACAAAATCCTATTTACAGTTTCATCATTTTTTTTCTTTCCTTTCCATGCTCTGATGTCAATGATTCACCTACAGAGATCTACAAGCAAGCAAAATGAGAAAATTTTCTCTCCTTATTTTCAGTTGGTCATGGCATGTTTTTGTAACTTGTTCAACGACAGAAAAGGTAATCGTCTTCTTCGAATTCGGGAAGTCCCGACATGGCCAGTGCCAAGTGATCCGTCATCTCGCTGTTTGTACTTTGAAACTGTGAATAACAATCAGTGACACATCCATGACCCAAGAAACCAGACCTCTTTGATCTGGAGGGCACAAGCTTTTCTTCACCTTTCAGTATTGCAATGATCTCTAAGATCCCGGGCCTGCGTGATTCTTCACCAGTAATGCAGGCAGCGGCAGCTTCGATCATTCGGACTATTTGATTCGAATTTTTCGTCGTACATGTCACCTGTGGATCAAGCAGCTCGGTAATTGCCCCCTTCCCCTTCTGCAAGAGTGGTTTTGCCTGTAAGAAATACGGTCATAGTTAAGAACTGCACTAATGATGAACCAACACGGCTTAAGAACTCCGGTTTTCGGGGAGAATTAAGAAAATAAATTTTATCTAGATTTGACATTTTCTTGATATGTTAAAACCAAATGATGGTTAACATATCATTACATTCACACCAAAATGGCCGCCATGTTCCATCAAGAGTTGTTATTCGTGTGCAATGTGCATAAACATCTCGCGGTATGGTTCTATATGAATCACATTACATCAACTTTGATGGAACATAAAAGTAAGATCAAACTCATACTTAAAACATATCATAGGGATAAGAAATGATTGCATTACATGACTTTGTCCAGAACCATATTCTTAAACACACACAAGTTCATAGCATCTCGAGGATGATCAAATTTTTGGATTTGATTCTAAAGCACTGCAGAACCATTAATCCAAGAGAAGTAAATGAAGTCATTGAAGTGGTATAATGACCTACCCATAAAACCAAGTTCTCCTCTCCGTGTATCCTTGCTTCGATTGGCTTCCTGCCCGTTATGAGTTCCAATAACACGACTCCTAGAGCATAGACATCCGTTTTGTCTGATACCTTCCCGTGCTGGAAATACTCTGGAGCCAGGTAACTACAAATAGATTTGAGAAATGGTAAATCCGAAAGGAATTGAAAAAGCGAAAGGCGGGATAGATTCTCATCATCCTTCCCCTACATTATAATGTCTTAAGAAAGAGTTCGTACCCAAATGTTCCTTTGACAGTCTTGCAAAGGAAAGGCACTGATGGAGCAGCAGTCCATGTTGCTAACCCAAAATCACATAACTGCAAGCCACCATTACCAGAAAGGGAAAAAAAACATTTAGTTTGGAAAAGCAAAAAAAAAGAAGCAATATATTTTGAAAGATTATCTTTGATTGCTGACTTGGTTGGTTTCTCTATTTCCATTGTCTCACATCAAACAAGCAAAAGGAATATCCATAAAAGAAAAAAGAACAAAGAACATATTCTTTTACCTTTGGCATTCTCTTGGATGAAAGAAGGATATTTGAAGGCTTAATATCTCTGTGAACAACACATCTTTCAGTCCCATTGTGGAGATATGCCACAGCCTCAGCAATCCCAATAGCAATCTTGAACCTCACTGACCAGGGAAGTCCCAAGCAACCCTTTATTCCCCTCTTCTTCTCTGCAATCATTTTGCCTTTTTAGAAACCACAAAAGTTCAAAAACTCAACCAAAATTCAAGTAAATTCAGAACCCAAGATCAGGAAATCATACCATGCAAATGCCTTTCTAAACTTCCACCAGAGACATATCTGTATACCAAAAACAGACCCTCTTCTGGATCTATGCAAAACCCCACAAGAGGAACTATATTTGGGTTTTGAAGAGAGCTAGCAATCATCAACTCTCTGCAGAATGCTTTTGCTGACTCTTTATCTTCCTTGTCCAATCGTTTGATTGCCACAGCGGTTCTCAGAAACCCAACTCTACCCCTAAACACACAGCTCAAGGCCCCTCTTCCCAGAACTCTGCCTAATCACATTTGGGGAAAAATAAAAAAATGAAATCAGTTAAATGATTACCATATGAGAAATTTTGGTTTGGATAAAGAGGTGGTGTTTGACTTTTGAGAGTACCTTTTGAGAAATTACGAGTAGCAGAAAGAATTTGGCGATAGCTGAATCTGATCAAAGTATGAGCCACAGGGGAAATGCTCTTTTCCAGCGACTCAATCCTCCGCCATTTCAACTCTTTGGTGAGAGCCTCAGCCATCATTCCGTTATCCAAATTTACCATCAAAACGGTGGCAGCAGCGGTTGAAGAGCCGATGTTCATGGTTTCAAGCTCAACCTGAGAGCAGAAACTGAACCGGAAAGACGAGTGAACCGACTGTGGATCGGCATTTAACAACTCTCCGCCGAAGGCGCCGGATTCAGCAAGCAACCAGGCCTTGTTGTGCTCCAGATTCTTGTTTTTCTCCTCCGCATTTGGGGCTTCTCTGTCTTGAATGCCCTGATTCTTGCGGCGAAGACGAGCAGGAGGGAGAACACAGGCAAACCCGAGTTCCCAGATCATTTTCCTCAAAAGGGTCTTGATCTTGAGCTCATTATAGTGGCAATGGTGATGATCTAGAGCTGCAGAGGAGGAAGACGAAGAAGTGGTCTCCCTTGGGTTAGAACAAGTACCAAGGGAGAAACCCATTTTGAAGCAGATCTCAAAGAAAGCACAGAAATCGAAAGTACCCCCCAGAATAGAAATAAAAAACAGGAAAAAAGAACACAAAGGCGCAGATACCCACAAAAGAAAAGTGGAATTTGAAGGGATGGGAGCTTTGGGTTTGCTTCAACGGTGGGAGGAGAATAAGGGGGAATGTGAACTGGACAGGCAGTGAGCAGAATAATGGAATTTTAATGTAAAGAAATGGAAGAATCAATTGGTGGGTTTGGTCCCATATGAAAATTTGCAGACATGGGGGTGATTGGTGAAGGCGAATGGGGTAGCTCGCTTGCTTTACCTTCAAAATGGAATTTATATTAAACAAGAGGGAGAGCACGTCGATTCTTGGTCCTTTCCTCTGTGTGTGCGCGAGCGACAAAGAGACTGAAAGAGAGATCATTGGGTAATCAAAGATTAATTTAACACGAATCACAATAAGCACAAAGCTTGCTGGAATGAGGAATCCCACACTAACGACGGTTAATTAATTTGTTGAGTTTAGGAAGTTAATCACGATTCATCATCACTTTCTTTTGATATGATTCATGGTATAGTTTCTTAAATCGGGGTTTAACTTATTTAGTTATTAAAAAAAAATCTAATAGTTTTCTTAAATCCTATTGGATAACCATTCTATTTTTAAAAATTAAGCAACCATTTTACTTTTAAAAATTAAGCGATCATTTTTACTGGGTATCCTTTTATCTGGTCACCTCTTTGAAAGAGTTTTCAAAATGTAAGTTAAATCTTGAAAGTGAGTAGTTTCGAAAAACTGTTTTTTTCTTTTTTTTTATTTAACTCAGAATTCAAATATATTAAAAAAATGTGAAAAACTTTATCAGATAAATGGTGGAAACTAACATAATTTTAAAAAATTTAAAACTAAAACAAAATTATTATCAAATAGAGTTTTGATTTTTTAAGATTTTAGGTTTATTTAGTCTCCTTATTTCAAAAAGATTATGATAAATCATTTAACTTTCAAGAATATATCTAATAGCAGTCAATTTAATTAATACTTGTGCCACCAAAATGTCTAACAAAGGTTCGCTACAAAATTAAAAATTTTAATAACTTGTTCCAAACTCTTTAAGGCATATAGGAACTAGATAGACCCAATCCTAACCATTTTTAGTAATTAAACTTTCAATTTTTATCCTTAAAAGCTTCAAATTCATCAAATTAGCCCTCAGATTTTAGAAAGTGTGTTGATTATTATCCTGAAAAAGTGAGCAACTTTGTTAGTGGAACAAGTTATCATGAATATGATGAAGATGAAGAAAAGTTAAAGAGAGAGAGATTCCAATGACTGAAAAAGAGGGGAGCTTATGGCTTTTTGCAGAACTTGTTTTGCTTTTAGGAAAGAAAAAACTAATAATGAATATTCGATTGAGAGATATAAATAAATAAATTATATAACAGAAAAATTATAAGGATATGTAGTTTGGTGACCACCCAATATTGTCCAACCGCCAACAACCTTGTCTTCTCATACCACCCCACTTGGCGTCTACTTTATTAGAATATATTTTGGTTAATGTTTCTATTTTGTCTGTTATCTTGAAAATTAGTAATTTTTATGTATTTTTCTATACTAAATGTTATAAGGTCAAATGGTTGTTTTGTAAGATTAATTGCGTGTAAGCTGGTCCGGACACTCACGAATATAAAAAAAAAAAAAAATTCTATTTTGTCATTTTATTATCATCGAACTTAATTATCAAGATGTCATGAATTTAGATCTTTCCTTCTACGTATTGTTGTATCCAATATATGTATATTTCTAATTTTTTATTCTTATTTTTTGTTTCTTTTTCTAATAAATAAAAACACAACTACGTTGTATAACTTTTTTTTGTTTTTTATTAAAAAAGATATAAAAATATATTTTGTGACAATTTATTGTTTTTAAATTTTAAATTAAACATTGTAATTTAATTCATCTAAATTAAATATGTAAAATATTTATGTTATATTTATTTTTTAATATTATTATGCATTTTATAAATAAGAATGATAAAATAATATTTTTATTTATTTTTTAAAATAAAAATGAAAAAGAGATTAGAAAATAAGAAATTAGATTTTGTTATTTTCAAGTTTTTAAATAATTTTGAAAACGTTTATTAAAAAATAGACGGGAAAGGAGATTATTTAGAAAACGGCCCTACGAACTCACTTTTTGATCTTCTTCTGATTTCTGCCTCCACCCGAATCGAATCTTCTCACGCCACTTTGGCACTTTTATTTGTCTCTTGTACCATAGAAACTTCAAACATGGCTTTTCTTTCCATGATTGTTTGCAACTTTTGCTAATTAAACCACCTTAATTTTAAACCCTATTCGATCCTTTGATTATGTTTTTTAATTTCACGAGTTTGATTTAGGTCAAGTTTTAATATATTCCAATAATTTTAAAAGTTTCAATTTGATCTTTATGGTTCAGTCAAAGTTCAAGAATCGGTAGTCTTAATAAAATTTCAATCCTGATTATAAATTGTTATCTTGATAGGTGTCAAGTAGATGTGCAGTATTGTATGCAGTTGAGGCATCCAACAGACCAATAGACTTGAACCTTGACATATGTTGATGCAAAATTTTGTCGAGATGTCGAGGTCGGCCACGTGGCAACAGGCCGAGCTAACGAGATGCGAGCTCATTCAAAGTAGGACCTGCAAAAAGAGAGTAAACACTCCGACGCTCAAGTCAGTATAGGTGCAAGCTCAAATAGGTCATCCTCATAGTAGGATTGCGTTACTAAGTAAGAGGAATGAAGATCTTTTTATAGGTCGAGTGAAAGGACACGTTTGTTATGGCCGTTAAGACAGAACAGTTAGATGTTGGGCCATAGGTCGGAAATGATTGAGGCAATGGATGAGTTTAGTAGCTTAAGCTTGGCCATAGGTGAGTATAGGAGCTCGGTGGTAGGTGAGCTTAGGAGCTCAGCCATAAGTGAGCTCATGAGGTTGGCCATAGGTGAACTTATGAGCTCGGCCATAGGTGAGCTGCAATAGGTGAGCTCAGGAGCATGGCCATAGGTGAACTTTAGGAGCTCGATAATAGGTGAACTTATGAGCTCTGCCATAGGTGAGCTTATGAGCTCGACCCTAGGTGAGCTTAGGAGCTCGACAGTAGCTTGGCCATATCTTGCCACGTGGTATGTCATATTTTTGCCTCCAACAGCATATTTTATATTGATTTCTAATGTAGCTTATTGTCTTAGCTACTTGTATTGGGTTTATATGAGTAAAAATAAAGGAAAAAAAATCCTTAAAAGACAATGTGTGAAATTTAATCCGAATTAGTTGAAATTTCTAAAACCATAAAAAATCAAATTGAAACTAAACTCCGAACCTAAAATCGAACCAATAGAGATCCTATTTGTAATTTCACTGTTTTTACATACATGTTATTGAATTTTGGACCATGTATTATAATATAAACCCTATAGATCAACCATGTCGACTTGTATTTTAAGTTAGGTATATTGAGTTTGCTGGTATCCAATTTGGAAATAAGTGAGTCAAAATTGTATTTATGTTATATTGTGATGAGAAACTTTAACGACAGTGATCCAAATGAATTTAACGAAGGTTCAAAGATGGAAACAAAATATTATAAAAATATAAGAATAATATTAGGTGTGGAATTTAGATACCGATGTAGGATTATATTAAACTAGCTCAACAACACGTACCATCAATAAAAGTTAGATTTGCACATTATTTTGAATGGGGTAACATCATGGTCTCCTTCCTAAGTCTAATAGTTCTTCTTTAGCCTATTTAATTTTACTCCTTTAATGTTTAGGTTTGGCCAAAATCTAAGAGTCTATTAATGGTGCCTTTCTTTTAGGCCTATGATGTTATTATTTGAGGCAATCTTCCCCACATAAATCAATTCTAATAAAGAAATTCTAACTAAAATTTCACATTCAAAATCAAATAGACCACGTTGGTCATATAGAACCTTTCACATTATGTTATATTGATTATTTTGAGAGTAGCTCGATTATTTACTAAGTAATTAGCCAAGACAAAATATTTGTCCTCTCAACACACATGCCACTCAAATAAAAAGAGACGTCCATGCTCTTTAATGGTATGTAATCACGCTCGATCAATAGATCATAATATATACTTTTTAAACAGAATCCCTCTTCGTCGAAAAAGAACATCCTTGAATTAGAATACTTGTCTCGTATTATACAATAAGTTATTAAGAGAGGATTATTGTCACACAGTACGAGGTGAACTGTTTTCATTTCTTATCATTATCATCCAGCTTATTTACTTGTCTATAGCCTTTTGAGTTTTTGGACAACTTTTAGGCTAAATATATATTTTAGTTTTAATATTTAGACATTTGTTCAATTTAGTCTTATTATTTAAAATTTTTTAATTTGTTCTTTGCATTTTAAAATTTTCAGTCATCCTGTTTTCATTTCATTTATGATTGTTAAAAATTATTTATGATAAACTTACATAATATAATATTTAATGACAATATTTAGGTCATCTAAGAGAAGAAAAATCAAAATTTCACAAATTCCTTAGAAATTTGGAAGAAAAATAAAAAATTTTGTTTTCTTGATTTAGTTATTCATCTAATTTTTTTTCAACTCACTAAACGTCATATCATAACCTACAATTAACTAATTTTAACATTTACCAATGAATCGGGAGGATATAATTAAAAGATATTATTACATAAGAGATTAAAAGTTTATGTAAACATACCCTCTTTTTTAATATTTACAGTTAGAAAGGCTTTAGTTTTGTGTTTTCAAATAAGAATTTATATATTAAAAGCATAACTCAGTGACATATATTTTCAACTAAGAGGTCGTGAATTCGAATTCTCTCCCACCATGTAGCGAAAGAAGAAAAGAATTTATGCATTAAAGATATTTCCAATTACCACGACTTCAATATAGGATCACAAAAGTAATTAAGTGGGACCCAATGGTGAATTAGAGGTCATTATTAGTCAATTTTTTGAAATTGGTTTATACAAAAATGTGGACCAAAATTGTTGTGAATAATATAAAGCCATATGTATGGAGGGGCAGATGGCGGCACCTAAAGGTTACCCAATGTTGATTACGATGCTATTAAATGTTTAATTAATATATCATCAAATAAATAAATAAACAATAAATGTTTGGATGGTGGGCTAAAATGGTGAGGATTCAAAGATGAAACTGATGTTCAACGAAATTAATTTTATAACAATATTTAAATATTGACCCGCTAACACTCCTATTTTGGTTATTATTATTAAATTTTTGAAACGTAAGAGAGAAATGAAAAAAAATATCTTTTTTATTTAAAAAATAACTATTGAATTTATCGGGTTGCATTTTAATATTTATTAATAATAAAATATAAATTTTCTTTTATATTTAAGTTAATAATTTTTTAATACAACATATGGGAATGCAGACGGAGTGGGAGATCGAACTCACAATCTCTTTGTTGGAGATATATCTCAATTACTGCTGAGCTATGCTTTGAATTTAAATTAAGAGTTTAAGTTTTTAGAGTTTTTTTTTTAATGAAAAGTAGTTGAAAGAGAGGTCATTTTATAATTACTTATTTTTGTATTAAATTTCTAGTTCTAAAAATTCCTATAAATACTTCCTACACATTTAAAACACAATCGAATTCAACATATCACTGTCCTTATTTTTACTTTCTCTATTTTGTTTTTTGAAAAGCAATTGATTAAAGGAGGCGTGTTTTTTGTCGTTGAACTTTGAGCTCAACCTTTAGTTACAGTGTTGTTTGAGCTACACAACGTTTCAGTTGAATTGTTGTATCTTAAATGGATAGGGATAGATCAGAAAACACTTGTTATTCCGATTGATAAATAAATACACACCGCAGAGGACTCGGATCTTCTTAATACCCGTACCTCAACCCTCTGTTAATAGTACCTAAGTATTATAGAGAGCATGTGATGTAGTCGCCCGTGACGGAATCAGATTCCATCCCTCTAATTTGGTTTTGTCGGTGATGCAAGCAAAAGAGCAAAGGGCTTCCTGTGAGAACTTGGATGAAAGAACTTAAAAGTTGATAGGGTTTGGAAGAATTGATGAAATCCACTTAATTGACTCATTTGATTGGTTAATTTGAACTATACTTGTGTACGTCCATTCCATTTTTGGACTTTTTGTTGGTTTGATAGTTGGAATTGAAATGATATATATTTAGTGACTTTGATATATATATATATTATTAACACAAAGATGCTCAACGATAATTGACATCTTTCTAGAAAGATGTCGGCATCAAATGTTTATCAAATAAATTTTAGTCGAGTTGTGTGTGATATGGCAAAAATTAGATAGACTAATGAAATGCAAGGTCAATATTTTTATTAATAGGAACAAAATAAAAATATATTTGAGAAATGTAATTGATTTCTTAGGAAAAAAAAATTAAAGCCGTAGTATTTGGTAGGACGTAAATTTATAATCAAACTTATTATATATTAAGAAGAATTTCAAAAAAAAAAAAAAAAGTTTCCCCTTTTTTGTTTGAGGAAGTAGTATATATACTTTTAAATGTTTTTTTTTTTCTCCCTTCGTTTCTTGAAACTTTTCCCTTTTTTCTTCTCCATGTAATCACGTTTTTGTTTTTCTGATAAAGGAAAAGGAAAGCATCCGAAAGAAATTAAGAGGTAGATTACATTGCCATTAATTGGCACTACCAGAATTGTTAGTTCAATTTACTGCAAGAGTTCCTAGTTCAAAGTAGGGATGAAGTTCATATTTAGTAATAAAGTTTGGACATGTTAACTTTTATGAAAATATCTGTAAAATATGAATGTCGATCAGTATTTTTAGAAATCATAAATATCAATAATACTCGTATTATATTACTTGTTGGGGGTCGAAAAGTAACATTGCCATGTGGAAGACAGAGGAAGGTCATAAGAACTAGGTTTCTTGGAAGATCAGTTAAGGGAGGGCCGACCTTCATACTCAACTGTAAAACTACATTGGAAAACTTCCATTCGGTTGAAGGTCTTACCTATCATTGAGATTACATGTCCGACAAGCCAACTTTCGAAACAACATTAAAAACTGCTGGTCAGATAGCTTGACAAATCCCCCACCTATAAAAATAGTACTTCACTTAAGTATCAGGTATCACATTCTAGCTCGATTTCTATATTAAGGACGGACTTAAACTAACTTGAGCGTTCAAGTGTTTGTTTTTATTGTACTGATTTTTCCTAATCAAGTGATCCTCAAGCTCCTTCCAGTCTCATGCGTTGACCATTTCCAACCTTGATTAAATTCGTTACACAAACATTACTCCTAAAAATTTATACAGTTGTGAATTTCGACATGTTAGAGACAACGACCTCTCTATATTTATGTGGTGCAGTGAAATTGTCCGCTTTGTGTATAGACCCTTATAGATGTGCACCTGCAAAATGGTTAAAAAAATTTAAATAGATATTTATCCTTAGCAAATTTCATTTGACCGTTTTTTAAAATGGAGGGATAAATAGGGACACTTGTTTCTATTTCTCTGATTTTTATATTATGATTTTGTTTAAAGAATTGTAGAACAGTCAGACCACTAACTTAGGTCCATTTATGTAAGCCCATAAGCTTTACTAATATCTTTCTTTTTCCCCCTTATAAAAGGTTTACTGATATCTTTAATAATAATATTTCCCTACTAAAAATAATAATAATATTCCCATTTATGTTTAGACCCAACTCTTATATTCAAAATCCTTCGCCCATGTTATTTAACATTATGAGACCATTTATTTACAAAATTTGTGACGGACTATTTGGTATATTTTAAAATAAGTATAATTCTTCATTTTTTTCAAATAAATAATTCTAATTTTGAAAACATTATAAAACCTGAAGATAAAATAAAATTAAAATAACAAAATATAGTTCAACGATTATTTTGTTCATTCTCTAAGGGTCGAACGTTCAATCATCCATTATACTAAAAAACAAAAAAATTAAAGCGTACTTGATATATATATATATATATATATATATATATAAATAATAAATAAGATAAAAAATATAGTCTTTATCCCGTATCAGGGTCCATCATTGCAAGAAAAAGTAACACCCTTATCTTTCTTTGTGTTTTATTTAATTTTAACTAATGCCATCCACTTTCTTTAATTTAAAATTCAAATATGTTTTAATATAAATATAAATATACATTTCAGAATTTAATAAAGTAAAATTTATTTGATCAATTTTAATTTGTGAAAAGTGTACAATAGATTAGAGTAATCACACTATTGTTACAATTGTAAAAATATATTAATAGATTGACTTAAATTAATTTTAAACATATAAAATACACTTTTATGCCTTAATATTAGCTTTTAAAGTTTGACAATTTTCAAGGAATAAACATATAAATAAACAATTGAAAGTTATAAATATTAAAAAGTCCTAAAAAAATTTAAATTAATAAATAAATATTTTTCTATTTCTAAATAAATTTAAAATGATTAATATTAATATTATGGATATATGAGTGAAATTTGGTTGATTTTTTTATATTTCGTCAATTTTTTTTTGTAATATGATATAAATGTCAATTTATCATTTGTATCAATATCAAATATATGAATACGTGTAAATATTGACGTGTTCATGGAGGTTTAATACCAGGTTAAAACTACCGATGTTGAGCTTAACTATTTTTTTTTAAATAAATAAATAAATATAAACTACAATATTCGAAATAGTTTTGCAATGGTTAAAAAAAAAGAAAGTGTTTTGGAAAAAAAGTATTTATGTAAATACTTATTAAATCAACAATTAATTTAAACTTACGCCATTCAAAAACGTCTCCCCCATCAGTCCAGACTTGGCAGCAAACCCTAGAAAACCCAAAATTGAAGCTCTCCTCCACCTTCTTCTTGTTGATTCACAGAATCGCACTCTCAAAATCTCTTCTCCGTGTGGCCTCTCAAATTCCCTACATTCTCATCTGAAGATTCCATGGGAGAGAACAACAAACGGCGACTCTCCGACCACCACCCCCAACGGAGCAAGAAGCATCCACCTTCATCTTCTCCTTCTTCCGCTCCAAGTCCTCTTCCCTCAAGCTCAGTTTCTCAACAACAGTTCCACGGCCCCTCACCGGAACGCCAAAGGAACAAGATCCCACATTTCGTTTCCTACCTTGAGTTCCCCAATTTGCCGTTTAAGGTCAAATTACTGTGTGAAATCATCGCCAATTCCCCATCCATCGACGTCGAGAGGATTCTCGAAGACACCGGCGTTCAGGTCACTCAAGAAGATGTCGAGGAGGTCCTTAAATTGTCTTACAAGTTTCCAGGATCCTCTGTTAAATTTTTCCGCTGGTCCGGCCGGAAGCTCAACGACCAACACAGCCCCTATGCTTGGAATTTGATCATCGACATGTTGGGTAAGAATTTATATTTCGAACCAATGTGGGATGCTATGAAATCGATGAAGAAAGAAGGGTTGCTCTCTTTGGCGACTTTTGCTTCGGTATTTAGTAGTTATATCGTTGCAAACTGTGTTAAGGACGCCATTATGACATTTGAGGTTATGGATAGTTATGGTTGTCCTCATGATGTGGTGGCATTAAATTCACTTCTAAGTGCTATTTGTAGGGATGGAAACACTAAGGATGCGTATGAGTTTTTGCAAATAGCAAAAGATAAGATTAGGCCTGACCCGGATTCTTATGCCATTCTGTTAGAAGGGTGGGAAACTGAAGGAAATGTGGTATGTTCCAAGCAAACTTTTGGAGAGATGGTAGAGGAGATTGGTTGGGATCCCACCAATACCCCTGCATATAATTCCTTTTTATGTGTTTTGCTGAAGGGCCCCGATGGGCTACACGAGGCATTGAGGTTCTTCAAAAGATTAAAAGATAAAATGTGCTATCCAGGATTTAAGTTTTTCAAGGTTGCCCTTGATGAGTGCGTAAAGAATGGTGATGCAAAGGCGGCGAGTTATCTTTGGAATGAAGTCCTTGAGAGTATTAATTTTCAGCCTGATACACATATGTATAATTCAATGATTGTTATATGTTGTCATCAAAATGATACTGACGCAGCTAGAAGGTTGCTCGATCAGATGATATGTTATGGGGCATTCCCAGATATGGAAACTTACAATTTGTTGTTTCAGTTCTTATTAAAGAGCAGGAAATTAAGGGACGCTTCAGCTATATTTGATGAAATGATTAAAAATGAATTTGTTCCAAGCCGTGCTAATTGTAATGCAGCAGTTAGGATTTACATTGAAAGTGAGGACCCAAATGGGGCCATAAAAGTATGGAAATGTATGCTTAAAAGCTATGAATCTGATCTTGAAGATATTGGTAATTTCTTGATTGTAGGGCTCCAAGATCAAAAGAGGTTGCCAGAAGCAGTAAAATATGCTCATGAGATGATTGATAGAGGAGTCATGTTGAAACATTCGACTTTGTCCAAACTAAAACAGAGCCTTCACGAAGTTAGAAAGGAATTTATATATGACGAGCTTATGACAAAGTTGAAAGTTCCTGAGTAATAAGCATTTTTGTGCCTTATAGATGTAGAAAATGAATTTCTGCATGATGATCATTTGATTGGTATTTGGATGAAGTTGAAGATCAAACCTGTTATGATAATGCTTATTAAAACATCAAGTGAATACATGTTCAATATTTTCTAAGCTCTGGACATCTTTTCCCTCTGGCTTATAGAGCTGAAGTTTTACATGGATTCTTGACTGACGTAAACATCATCTCTTTATGTGGCTCAAATCAGGCGTGCATTCTGATATGAATCTCTCTTTGAAGAATCTTCTGCTATTTTTAAAATGAACATTTAGAGGGTTGTGGTGAGTCCTAGCAAATAACAAGAAACTATTGTAGAAAATCTGAGGGAACATTCCATGGAGTTGTAGACTGATAATAATTGGTATAAAGAGAGTCATCTGTTCTGTCTTATGCACCAACACAAGGGAGACAGTGCCACAAAGAAGGTTTCTCTGTTGCTTGTTGGATGGGTTTTGTTTGATGTCCTAGAAATATAACAGAGATATGCATTTGTCTCCCTCTCCTTCGTAGGGCTTTTCTTGTAACTACCTCTTCTCCCTTCTTTGGGACTCTCGTGCGCTCGCCCTCTGTTGCCTTCATAATTGTGGAAGGCCACAATCCCAAGGTGTTTGCTTGGCTGGTCGTTTAAGTGGAGGTGAAACACTTTGATCGTATTCAGTTGTCGTCCTGGTAACAAAGATTTTAGTTTGTGGTTTCCCCCTCCTTCGGAGGGAATTTCTTGTAGTGTTTCTTCTCTCTTGTCTGACTCTTATACTCTTGCCTCTGTTGGATTGCCCCACTGTGAAGAAGGTAAAGTTTATTTGCTTGGCAGGTCATTCATGGGAAGTGCAACACTTTTAGAGTTGTTGAGAGGCTTGTGTGTTCCATGATGGAGGAGGTCCTCTTTCAAGATACAAGAGGCTCATAAAGGCTTGTGCAACACTGGCTCGTAACAAATTAATTGTGCCATCCGATGATCGAGGAGGTCCTATGTCACTTGCCTTTCTGATCTGCCTTGTTTTTTGCTATCTTGAAATATCTGGTTCGAGTGGAACGAGAGAACTTTTTGAGATGTCGAGAGGCTTTTAGATATGTTAGGAGGCTCTGGGAGAGGCTAAGTTTAATCTCTCCTTAGGCATTGTAAAAACTTTTGTAAGTTTCGTGTGTCCATAACTATTAACAATTGGAGCCCGGGCTCATTTCTTGCTTCGTTTGTTTTGGACTTCTTCCTTTTATCAAACATTCTTTCATTTGCCTCAATGAAAGTTTGACTTTTTAATGTCTGAATGGCATCAATTCATGGCATGAAGTTTCATCGAACCATTCAATTTGGTGGGGTTGTTTGTTCTTGATAAAGAGGGATCTCTGTTACAATTGTTTACCAAAAAGTTGATGTTCAGATGATCTTTTCAACGATATTCAGTTATATTTATAGTTTGCATTTTAATATGTATATATATACCTTGTCTTTCTTCTATATCCTAGTTTGTAATTGCTCCAATCTTGAAATCTTGGTTTGGTTGTGAAGATCTTATGAAGGTTTTTTTAAGGTTTATTTTTAATCTCTTTTTCAATCTCGCCAATCTTGTTCATGGCTTCTTGATTCCTGTGTTGACTTGAAACACATGCTCTTTGAGCTGTGCTATTGGCAAAGCTTGTTGACTTTGCTATTCATTTACAAAAAAGTGTCCCATAGTTTTCTTCAAAGAATGCTGTCTTGTTCTTACATTGCCTTGGACATGACATTAACTGGTAGTTCAAAGCTTAAAATGAGAAGCAAAAATGTTGGATGTGCTTGGTTCTTTAGTATGTAAAACATTTTTCCCAAAAAAGAAAAATAAAACTATTTGTTACCTTTTTTTTCTCTGTGTTTTTTTTTATTGTCTTTAGAGAAGTTCCTTCTAGTTTGTTTGATCCCCACATGTTATTGGTTCTCAATTTGCAATAAAGGATCCCAACCATTGTGTAATTACATTTAGGAGAATGATTAAAAAAATTACTAGAAAAGTGTATACACTAACAAGTTTTTGGTGGTTTTGGCCCAAACGCCCAAAAAGATAGTGTTCTTTTTTTAGACTAGGGTGTCAGAGGTCTCAATTCTTACATTATGCTCATGACCCACTCTCACTAATTCTGAAAGAAACTTTGTTCATCCTAAGAATATTGATAATACGAGTTCAATTAAGTTTTCAACTCCAGTGCTTGAATCTAAGATCTCGGTGGTTATCTCCAAACCTCTCAAAAGTCTTTGGCATCTCTCGATCCCTAAATATTGCTTCCAACTATCCTCAAAATCTATGGAGATCAACACTCTTATTGAGAGATTTTTTTTCCTAAATTACATACAAGAATAAAGATGCTCCTCAAAAGAATGAGATTTAGTATCCTTATGAGATTTAGTATCCTATCTTTCCACCATCAACTAATCGGAGTTAAAATGTTAGAGTTAGAACAACATTTTGAAGTTGTGTTTACACTGTCTATAAAAGAGTGTTAGTTAAAAAGACGAAATTATCCTCTCTTTAAAACCTTTTCTCAAACCTCCTTCTCTTCCCCAATGAATGCACAAATTAAAACTCTTTAGAGATAGAACCTAATGGAATTAAACTATTTTTTTATTTTTGTAAAAAACCAAAATTTATTGTTGTTTATAAGAGCACCATATAGGTATCTAATAATTTTATTTAGTATAACTTCTCATTTTATATTACTATAGAAAGCGATCCTAAATATTTCAAATCTATGCATTAATTATATCTAGATCATTACAGACTTAATAATGTTCAGTAAATTTATCATTCATTAGTGTATCTCTGCAGAAAATATATACACATAAATTTCTGGTAGATTCTCCAAAAATAATTTTTTTTTTCAGATCTCCAAGTGGGGCCCTTCATTGAATGAATAACTAGCTAGAACAACATTTTTCCAGCTTACAAAAAAAAAAAAAAAGAGCAGCATTGATTTCTGCTCCCAATCTTGTGTTATAGGGAGCAATTAATTGCTGACATTCAAAAACAAATTTTTTTCTTTTTCTTTTTCCTCTTCTATCAGAATCGTTTATTAAATTGGTGCATGGGTTTGAATTATTAAGAAACTATAATTCTTCTTTTTAAATTTTATCTACTGAAGGCAGCAATTTTATCATCACTTTTCACTGATTGAGCTTGAGCTTCTTTCCCTTTGAGATGAAAGAATGACATCAATGGCTTCCTTAACTTGGGAAATATCAGGAACTTTCCCACCTTGAACTGGCCAAAATTCATCCGTCGCCAGGATCTGAAATTCAAAAATTTAACTAATCAAATCAATGGCAGAGCGAAAAAAGAACGATGAATATCTTGAAATTGCTATCTAAAAAAGTTAAAAGGTAAAATCTTGCTCACGAAGAAGATAAGAAGATAAGAAAGTGTGAATTTTGTATCCTAAATGTGGAAAATAAGTGAAATGAATGGAAATGTGTAGACCTTCACTTGTAGCTGAAGAAATTTGACATAACTAATTGCTTTCTCCAACATGGTTACCAAATCAACCTGCAAAAAATAAAGGGTTAAGTTCAAATTTTCATTAGCTGCAAAAAAAGTCAAAGCTTTTCTCATTCTACAACATAGAAATATATAACTCTTTTTGGAATACTAGATAACAAAAAAAGCAAACCTTGGAGCCATTGGGAACCAATTCTTGGAGTATCTTCAGCCGCTCGCTAATCCTCTCTCGTCGATTCTAAGACACAGAAAAAGAAGGAAACCAAAAAACAGACATTCTTTAAGAAACCTTAAATTAAATTTTAGATGCAAGCCATTATTGGGCCAACGTTGTCAAAACAAAAACAAAGAAAAACCTTGGCTGCAATGCTCTGTGGATCCTTGGCTGCTGCAGATGATTTGGGTTTCTGTTTCTTAGTTGTTGCACTAGTACATCGCTTCTTACAAACACCCCCACTGCTCTCTACCTGTCAATCAAAAACACTTCTTTGAATTCTTATGCTTAGTTCACACAAATTTAAGAAACAAAAGCCACAAACTACTTCAGTTCTTGAATTTTTAGTTAGGCTTTCGAAGACACGAAATGCATGACGCGACGAAAAAATATAGGTACGTATATTTCCAGACAAACCCATTACAGTAAGACTCTACCGAACACGTTTGGGTTCAGGGAAAGGATCATTGAATACGGTTCCAATAAGATTTCATCCTTGAAAAAAATCTATCTTTTATTTATTTATTTCATCTATTTAAGACTACACTATAAAATTAGAATTCTAATAGATTTTAGACTGTTTATGGACCTGAATCCTTAAGCAGAATTTATGCTTAAAAGATCGATCAGACACTAACTCTAAATAACTTTTGAGACTAAACTTATAATTTAATGAAAATAGCGGTAAAAAGTGTACCATAAGAGATCGCTTTTGATTGGCTATCTCTTGAGCTGCTTCAGCCTCATGAATGGCATCAGAAACAGAAGAAGTTGGTTCAGAATAAAGCCATTCATACACTGAGCTGCCATCATTATGATTATCTCCAGCTGCAGTTTTATTATTGTCTTTTGAAGGGCTGTAGTTTGTAGCTGTTTGGAAGCTGCAATTGGGATCGTCCATCAAACGCTGCTGCTGATCAACCCAATGGAAGGTGTCTTGTGGCTCAAAGCTCAGCAAGGATTCGTTGTTGTTATTATTATTCTTGTGGAGAAGATTGTCAATCCCACACTTGAAGTTGATGAGAGATTGAGATCCCTGGTGGTGATGATGATGATCGAGTTGGTAACTCGGGTTTCGAAAGACCGAGTTACTATTTGGATTCTCATGGGTTGCCATGGCTAAAGTCTTCATGCCATCGACTTCTTGTACAGCTGAGTTTGCGAGTGCCATTGATAGAGAAGAAGGAACTAAAGGAAAAAAAGAGTGCTTTAAAAGTACTCAAAGGATACACAACCCTCGTACTTGGTGTAGACCCTATTTGTAGGGGTTGTAACTAATGATCTAAACCCATTTTTATATAGATTAAATTACATAAAAATTCTTCCTTGTTTTCAATTATGCCCTTTTTATTTTGAAATTTTCACTTTAGCCCTTAAGTTTTGAGTGGTCCGAAACAAAATACTATTCTTTCGGCTACGCGGTCACTAAATGTTGGCACTGGCTCTCCTTTGATACCACGCAAGATGGCTCTCCTTGACAATTTTCAAGCCCTTAAAGCCATGTTTTTTTTTCTTTTTGCAAATATAACCTAACGAACAAGATTTTGTAAATATGACAATTTTTGTAGCACGAAGGTCTATCGTTGATAGTCACTAATATCTATTTTAACAACGTTTATTAATGATAAAAGAGATAAATGTACTCTATCATTAATATATATGCAGATTTGAGATACTTTGAAAATTATGCTACATTTGTTATTATTTTATGCTAGATTATCATATATGTTGTAACCAAGATTTTAATTTTCAATGTCGATGGAAACGTCGAAGTCCCAATTTTATGGAAATATCTATGAAAATACCGATAAAACGTTGATGTCGATAGATAATTCTGTAAAAGTTAGAAAAATTAAAAAATCGTAAAAATATTTAAGTTAAGAAATAAACATTTTTATATTTCTAAATAAATTAAAAATGATTAATATTAATATTTTGTATATATTAGTGATATTTTGTCGATATTTTTCATATTTTGTTGATCTTTTTGTAATATAATAGAAATGTCGATTTATCCCTCACATTGATGTCGAATCTATACATAGAAATATCGATGGATATATATCGACGTAATCGACGGATATTTAATACCGTGGAAGTAACAACTCTTTTTTGTCTCTCTCAAACCCTGAACATGTATCCAAAGAGTATTTTGAGGCACCCAAAAGTTTAAAGAGTTAAAAACAAAACTTTTGAAACGAGAAAGACATAATACATGATTTAATGTTCAAAAGAACCCTTTGACGAGCATGGGGAAAAGAGATGGAATGGGTTTAATCAAAAAAGAATATGGAGGGTTGTAGAATGTGGATGCTATTGACTTGGAAAAGACACATACAATTTAATAGTTTTTGGGATAAAAACCAGCTGGCATTGGCAACAGCAAACACAGAATTAAAACACAGCAAAATGGATCAAAGGCAGCATTAGAAGAAGCAGCAGAAACCTCGGCGGATCTGTCGCCATTCCCACGTCTTTGAGATTCTTTTTAAGTTTGAGAAATTGAGAGAGAGCATGCAACTGATTCATCAGCTTCAGCTGGGCCATCTTCAAAGCCACTTTCCTGTCTGCTTCTGTGTTGTGTTCCACAGTGGGAGCACGTGGATCTATCGGATTCTAACTTTATTTTAATTTTGAACCCATAATTTAGAAGTTGAATATGTGAGGTTTTCAAGTTGGCAAACCAGCTCAGCTGGTGGAGGAGACTTGAGAGAGAGTCTTCAGTTTCTGGTTTTTATTGGTAATCGCGGTGGTAAAATTTATATATCTAAGAATATAATCCCATTTTCATTGCTGAACAGGATATTGTTTATTTGTTTTGTATTAATTTATCAAAACCACAGTTTGATTGAGATTTGCTGTCCAACTATTAATCAAAAACATGACAACGATGTCGCTAATGGACACGAGAACGTTGTTGTACGAATTCTATATATGACTTTGTTTGATAACTATTTTGTTTTAGTATTATATTTAAAAATTGAAGCTTATAAACACTACTCCGACTTATATGTTTTTGAAACTAAAAAGTTTCAGTTGGAGGGGTAGGAGTAGGAAATATGTATTTAAATGTTGTACTGCAGGTTCAACTTGCTCAGACGGGCCATTGGAGAAAACGATCATGCAATGTTCATACTACATAAAAGCTTCTTCAACAAAACTTTGCTATATGTGTTTAAATAATGTTGTATGGGTTCAGCTTGCTCATGCGGGCCATCGGAGATAATGATCACACAATGTTCATACTATGTTATGATCTCAACATAAAAACTTCTCCAACGAACCTTTGCTGTATGTGTTTAAATTGAAGGGTTGAATTTGCCGCACAACGATTCTGACTATAATATTTCTATTTTGCAGGTTTCGTTGAATCTCTTTGGTAATTTTGATGGGTCAAATTTATGCCTAACTGTAACAGTTATCCTCCGTATCAACAAAATCTCTTATATTATTTGTAGTTAACAAGAGTGATTAGCTCAATTTCCATAATAAATTCCGTTTTTATATCTTTCATTTCAAAGGAAGCTAGGGAGAACAAATTAATTAAGGGAGGTTAAGTTTGTAACAAATTAAAGAGAGACGTGATTAGTGGTAAGCCACTCACGACTCATTAAACCAGCAAGGAACATGCATAAACCTCAGCGACCGTACACATGTTTTCTGTGTCGTCATATATAAATATATATTATCATGCCATGCACAGAGACAAATGGGAGCTGCTAGGGATCCAAATGAAAGATTCTCACTTTATGACTTTGACTTTCCCATTAAAACCAAATTAAATTTAATATTGTGGTCTCTCCCATGCATTGGTAACAAGCCTTTAGTCGTATTAACATCACATGCTTAATCACATGGACCAATCTCACTCATAATCGCACAATTCATTCATTCATTCCCCATAGCATAACCAAACCATTCAACAAAGTAATTGATTGTGATTGTGTTGGGAAATGGTGACTTTTGAGCTTTGTTTTAAATACATATGTTTTCTAGCTAAGAAAAATAAATTGGAAATATACTTGTCCTTTCACATGGTCTTCTATAGTGTCATTTTCTTCTTGATTGGTGTGTTAATAATCTAACCGTATATATTATATCTTAACCTATCAACTTATAATTTCACTTTAAGATTTTTAGATTTGTTGTCAACATTATTTTTGTCAATCATAACAGTGCATTATGCCAAGTAACCATATGCTTGTTCATATACAATGCTCTGGTCCTCAAATAATATACACATAATATTAAGAATTTGTTTAGGTTAAACTCCTATATCTGATGAAAATCTAGAAGAGATCAAAATCGGTGTGTATAGTATATGCATGTGCAATGAAGACTAGCTATATGAGATTTGAACGTTAATCTATGGTCCAAACCTGAAGTTAGCAACTTCGTCCAAATATATGTGACTACATGGTTAAGTATATCCCATCTTACCTCCAAGGCTCTTTCTCCAATATCTAAATTATGTTGCCGTAATCTATTTATACTTGAAAAAACTTGAAAAAAGAAAGAAAAAATCTTCAAAGATATAACATAGAAGTAGAAGATCCAATAAGATATGTGCTAACATCTTATAATGAATTAAGCCAAGAAGTTGATGGGAAAGATAGAGACATGACATCGTATATGTGTTAAACTGAAGAGAAAATATCCTTAGCTGAACATAGTTAATTAATAGCGACGTGCCAGTTTGAGGTTTTTCTAATTAATTACATAATCTACATTGAGTCATGCCAAGCTAACAAAGAGTTGGCATTGACACTCGACGTCTTTGAAGATCAATCATGTGACGATACTTAATTTATCTCTAAACTATATACTTCTCTATGAGTAATATATACTTTCTTGTTTTTCCATCCACATGAGATTAAGATGATTTAATATTCATCAACCCAATTCTCCAATGATTGAATTTTCATCACTACAACTCACTGCTTAGTTCTGATCACTTATTTCATTCTTTTGAATTTTGTAAATAATAAAGAAAACAAATAATCTGTGTCTCATGGAAGATGAACCCTAGACTTTGTTTTCTTTAATATATACTTTATGGATGACTTGGGTGATTTACGTAGCTAGCTCAAGCTGTATCGCACTAATTGTGATTAAATTAAGCAAATTATTTGTTAGTTAAAACATAATAATAATCACATGCTACGTCTCATCCGATCCTCTTATTCCTAATGTTTTCATTTAAATTAATAATGCATACCCTAATATCCCCATTTGTAGTGGCAATTTAGTCATTTGGTTTCAAAAGGCAAAATGATAAATCTTTTTGGGGTCAAATTTTATTTATTTATTTTTTTTTTTGTTTTCTATTGGCTTTAATAACCTAAGTTCCAATTTGTATATTTTTACAATTTTCATTATTTTATTATGTCATTTGATTAAAGCCTTTATTTTCTTACTATGAGAAGTAATAGAAATTTAATGCGATAAATTATCAATAAATATTTAAAATTACGTTTCTGATGCGGCATTTTGTTCCCTAACATGAGATGTGATAAGTCATTTTAGAAAATGAATCTAGATCATGTTTGAAAACATTATTTACATTAAAAAAAAATGTAGGAATCAAATTAAAACCAATTCTACACATTTATCAAAAAAAAAAAACAATTTATACTAAAACATTATCTAACCTTATTCTCTTTTATCGGCCTTATGTAATTAGATTTCAACATTACTTATTAGAATTTTTATTTATAGATTTTATAGGTTACATATTTTTAAGTATTATATTCCTCACTTTCCCGTAAAGATTTATTTCCTTAGAATAAATTTTCCGGAAATCAACAATTTCATCAATATGTCAATATTTGCACTAGTATTTTCATTAATCAAAGAATTTAACAATTAGCTAACTTGAGTATAGTTAAATAGATTAAGACACCTATCTCCGTTACATCGACAAATATATTAAAAAAACAAAAGAATTTGGAAAAAAATTTACATTTATGTCAACCGAATTATTATGTTGGGTTAGCCTAAGACCCTATTTGAGATTGGACCCAATGAGCCCTAGTTTGGCTAATTAAAGGGAATTTGCATAGGTAATAAATTAGTTTTCATTTAAAATTTTGATTTTTTTTTCTTAATTTCTTTTTCATTTATATTATTAAAATTAGAACCGAAAAAAAAAAAAAAGTCATATTCAACCAAATGTACAGATGGATTGAGTCAGTCAAAATGTTTATTTTGGGCCAAACTTAAGTTGGACTTTATTACGTTGAAGCCCATTTGATGAGGCTGGCTCTATGAATATAAATATTAATACTAAGAAACTATATTGAAAGAAAACTTATTCAATAAATATTTATTAACTTAAATAATGTTTCTGAATATCATGAACCTTGTTTTCAAAATATCTGTCCAACATAGATATTTTTGTCCACACTTTTGATGATGTCAGACAATTAAGTCCAATATTTAGGTTTTGGATTTATTTAAACCAGGTGAATTTAAAAAGTGACCCATAATAGAAAAAGGTAATAAAGGAAAAAGGTTATAGTTTTGTTGAATGAAAAGCAAATGAAAAGGGAGCATTATATTGCTTCGTGGGGAAGACAAATTGATGCAATGATTTGTTTGGTGGGTGATTTGGAAAGTTGATTTCGTACCCATTAAACCTTCTCTCCCCTGGTCGAGAAAAGTTCGAGAGAATTTCTAGTATTATAAGTACATGAATACTCCTTCCATTCATTACTTGTCACGTCAGTATTGTTGAATCCACCAATGTTGAAAAAATTATTTGTAAATACAAAATCATAGTGTGAACAAACGAAATATGATACTCTCGTAGTACTGGAATTTTTCAATTTGTTTTGCTTGAACAACSTGAGATAGAAGTAGGACTAGTAATATGTTGTGATCACCACTCACCAAAAGTAGGCAACGAACTTTAAACTACTCATCTCTTTTCTTTTCTTTTTATTTCTTTTTTCCTCCTCTTTCTTCTTTATTAAACCTATGTCTTCGATCGATTGGTTCAACTTTTTTTTTTCCTTTTCTTAATGTGAGTGTAATCTTTGTAAAGTTGCATCTTTTTAAATTGTCTTTAGTACGATTAGCGAACATCAAATGAATTTGTTGTTATTAGGTATTTGGTTTGTACTTAGCTCAAATGTTGGATGTGATAGTTAATCATTGAGATAATTTTACAACGAAACGGATAAATATTGTCATGTTCACTCAATTTCGACCAAATAAGATATGTCTATGTCTTAACAATGTTTGTTTACTTTTGTATTTTGTTTTATACTTTTTAATAATAGCATAAAATTAGATTCTTTCAAGTTTACAGTTTCTTTCCGGCATCTTGCTTTTAAAATTAGAGGTTTAATCTCTCATCTGATAATGTTACCATTTCTTATTTCTCGTTTTCAAATTTTATTAAGAAACTTAAACATTTTGCAACTAATTATGTTTCTTATTTATCTTTTTTTTTTTTTGAAACGTTCTCAAAATTGTATAGAAATTTTAGAAACAATCAAAACAAGTTTCTTGTTTCCTGTTTCTGTTTCCAATTTATTATAATACATAAATAAAAATATAGTTTGATCATCCTTAAATTTATGGATGTTGGGGTCATACAATTCTATTTTTCTTTATTAAAAATGAAGAAACATACACAAGAAACGAGAACAGGCCTAAATTAAACCTATTTATATTGAAAAAGAAATAAATTGTAGATGTCGAAACCACTATACAACTACAACCCCTTGAAATTAATAATTTTGGATCATCTGTACAAGTTAAAAATGTGCATATCCAGTTACAACAAGTTACCATCAAGATTCCTTCCCTCTTTCTCCTTGCAACAAGATTTGGATTTGATAGAAAAGGGATCCAAGGCAAGAGCATTTCCCCAAAATCACTTGTAACCCAAGAAAAGAACTCATTCCCAATTCCTTTATCCTTCTTTCTCTTTGTATTATGATCATCGAGTATTGGCATTTGTGCTATGCATGCACATGGAGTTTGTACTCTACTAATAATTCAGAGAAAAGGGTTTTAAAACCCTCGTTACTTGAACTAGGCTTGAGTCGGCCAAGGCTTGGGGAAATGAACACTTTAAGACTTCACTATTTCTATACTGTAATACAACAGTGCCTTTACAGAACAATCAAAGAGAAAGAAAAAAGAAAGAAGAAAACAACTATGATCTCAACCTCATACAGATTCCATTCCAAGTTTTTATTGACATACCAGTCTCCCGACACTAACACAATCTGCCTGGACTGGCTTGCTTTTCCTATATCTTATTTTCATTTCCTGTTTTCTAACATTAAGAACAGTAAGAACTTTATCTTACAAACTCCATGGAAGTACAATTTTTGTTACTTTAAAGACACTTCAGAGGTGCAAGTATTAATCGGCATATCGGTGGGGGTACATACCAGAGCTCGTCGTTGTAAATGCCTCAAACTCTGCTCCATACTCACTTGCACCATCTCTGCCAGCATCTTCTTTGCTTTGCTAGATTGATCGTCGTCTCCGTCGATCTGAGAGATGATGTTACAAACGATATTCTCGATTGTGTCGGGTTGAAGCTCGGATCTTGGATATGGAGAGTCCCTTAATAACCTCAGCAGGGTTTTGGCCTTTGACTGAGATTTCGGTGTTCCTTGTACAGTGAGTTCAAGAAGCCCAGGGATTACCCCTTCTCCTAAGATGGGTTCTCTGTATTTACACCGGTCGCTCTCACACATTGTCAGTAGTGCACTGACAGCGTGATCACGACTTTGAAGAGAGCCATTCTCAAGCACTTCTACAACTGCAAGAACTCCACCTTCTTCAGATGTCAATGCGATTCTGCCTTCATCAAAACCAACTAAGGATTCAATTAGCGAGCAGCATTTTTCAGCTGTTTTTGAAGATTTTTTACAAGTTTTCAGCAGACTAACTATTGAAGGGATTGGCTTTGAATCTAGAATGATACTAAGATTATGTGGAAGTGTTGAAAGATTGGAAAGAGCCATCACAGCATCAGCCTTGGCTTGTGGGCTTCCACATCTAAGAATCTCCACAAGGAGGGGAATGGCACCAGCAGCACTTATTAATGGCTTGTTGACAGTAGAAGCAGATAGAGTGAGTAAAGATGCAGCTGAATTCTCCTGTAGGTTCAAACTCTCTGATTGAAGAAAACCAACTATTGGTCCCAAAGCACCAGCTTCTACAATCCTGATCTTATTCCTGTAGGCATAATACAAGAAATTAATACATGAAGGAAGCAGCTTCTCATCTGCTACCAAAAGTCAATGTTAGCAACAGACTGACGTGTAGGTGTCGTAAAATTAACAATTTTCCAGACACAAAAAGCCCCTAATCACTCTAGGGGATCATATTGTGGCTTCAGCTAAGATTAGGATTTAAAAATTTTTAAAATGAAACTCCATTGCAATTCCACACAACTTATTTAGCCAACAGTATCATTTGTACTAAAAACAGGTTTAAATTTTGATCTTTACAGGAGTTCCACAAATTGAAAGCAGACCAATAATGTCTGGGCAACATTGCTCGACTCTGATGAGAATTCAAGGCGACCATATACTTCATGTGCCAGAAGGAAACAGACAGGGCATGACAATGTGAGTATCATGTACGAGGAAGAAGAATGCAAGAAAGAACCGGGGTGAGCTTGATTGACATAGTGTGTGGCATGATGGCCACTGAAGTTGGTCACTGGTTAGTGGGAATAGTTCAATGGGGAGGGAGGCTCCTTTAAGGAATAAACAAGATAACGGTACAGCTGAAGAGATAATATGAAAACCAACAGGGTAAATCCATATGTTCTGTATCTTTTCTGCAAACGATATTTCTTGAGATCACTCAGAAACAGATCATCAGGATCACCCCACATCAGAAAGTAGCAACTAAGGTAATATTATCTATATTTAGTACGCCAAATATTCAAGAAAAACCAAAGTTTCTTAGAACAAATGAAAGGATATACAATGGAAATACAAAAATCCAGCCCACGTCAAACTGAGCCAATGAAACAATGGTAAAGCCGACCCACAAGATCGGGCTCCACCAATCAAGAATGAGAAATGAAGGATTAAAATATAGAACTCTTCCAACACCGACGCCCAGTAAGAGGTACTGAATACAGTTGTGGACCAAACCATTCCAAGACCTTCCTCTCCTCTAAAATCTAAATAAGTTGTAACAGCATACTTTCCAGTCCAGGGATCATCAAATTCAATATCTGGAGAAGACAATTCTTAAAGAACAGATAAAATAAACAAAACTTTAAAAAATGGACACATGTTCCATAGCCAAATTTGGGTAATCAAAACACCAACGACCGCGTGTTATGCCAACCGCACTAAAAAAAGGGAGAAGGGGAAGCCTCCAACAACAAAAGCCACAAGTAAACAACAATATAAATCAGCAAAAGAATAAGAAAACTCAACAGGACAAACACCCAAGACTCGGAAAAGCAAATTCTTTATCCTGAAAAAAGAAAAGGGCATCGCCATCTAATTGGCCAACCAACACATTTAAATGGGGTTTTTGAGATTTCCATCCCCCAAGTCCCATTTACTTTTTACATTCCGCTCCCGCATATTCTCGCCGACCAATCACGTAAGAGAAAAAGTAAAGAAAGTAAACCCTAGGGGCATCGGTGATTAAAATGAATGAATTAAAAAAGGGAAATGAAATAAAGAAAGAGGGGGAAGAAATTGAGAGGAAGGGGAAAGGAATTACTTCTCATCTTTGACAGCGAGGTTGAGGAGGGCGAGGAGGGCGGCGTGGTGGTGGGATTCCGGGGAGTGGAGCATGGAGACGAGGTGGGGGATGGATTGGGAGAGGTGTCGGCGGGAGCGTTGGGAGGTTTTGGTGAGGCGGCGGATTTCGCAGGCGGCGTGGAGCTTGGAATCGGGGTCGTCGGATTGGATGAGATGGAGGGCGCGGACGACGGCGGCGTCGTGGTGGTGGTGGGTGCCGGAGGGGGAGGTGGAATCAAAATCCATGGATTTCAAATTTGATGTTCTTCAGGGACAGTTGAGAGAGAGAGAAAGAAATGTTAGTGAGAGAAAGCATATAAGAGGAAGGGAAGGGGAGAGCGTGGCTTTAAGCAACAGTTACAAAAACACACACAGAAAGAGACGTTTATTTATTAATTATTAATTTTGTAGGGGGAAATAGGCAGTTGAACTTGAGCTTAATCTGGGGGCTAAATGGTAAATTGGTGGGGTCGGGCAGGGGTAGGGGCAGGGGCAGGGGCAGTTTTCGAAACTAAAATGGGAGTCGTTATCGGATTGGAAGTTGAAATGAAACGATTGGGGGTTAATTAAATTTGGTTTAAATTTTAATTAAATTGATTAGTACTCAATTTCCTTCATCAAGTCTCCACCATCCGCCAACCTCATGCTTGGGGAACTTTGACCATTCTAATACTAATACGAACAAATACTAATTAGGTGTTGATCCATGGGTACATTTTTTTGGTTGATTTACTATTAATTTTTTTTTAATAATTAAGATAGAGAAAGGAAGAAAAATAGGTTTTTTTTTCTGTTTTTCACAAAACTAAAAAGTTATCAAATTTTTGTTGGTGGTCTATACAAAATTGAATGTTGACTAGTAAGTATCTAGGTTTTGTTCTTGTATCCTTCCCTAAACTTTTATTCTCATTTTTATGTATTTTATTTTTAGTTAGTTTTCAAACGTAAATGTATGTTCAAATTGTATGTGATATGTTTGAGAGAGAAATTTGGAGGAGGAATCAGGAACTTTTTTAGACGACGTTTTTTTTTTTCATACGATTTTTTGCTAAATCACTTAATATTATGTCATGTAAGTTTATCACCAATCAATTTATCATTTACCAAAAATATATATTTAGCCTTGTGAATGGACAAAGATTAAAGCATTATTGGACAGGAGAATATGTATACGGTAGGTATTTTGCCAGGTGGAAAGCGGGAGCCAGGGTATTGTAAAATGAGTTTTCTTTGCCTACTTTATTCTTCGATGCCCACCAGTTTGCACACAGGTATGTGATAAATGCCAAAGGTCAGGTAACATCTCTCACTAAAATGAAATGCTTTTCGTGGTGAGTTGCATACTTTTCTATGCAAGAAATTGGTGCAATGGACACATATGGAGAACTGAACTTTCTTTCAATGTTGGGTCGAGGCTAGTCTTGTTGTGCAACTGATTTGAATAAGGGTTGAAGTTCTATTGATTCCCTTACCTACCTAACAAACAGGATTAGAGAGAGATAACTTTCATAGATATGGTTCTCACCCCAATACATTCGGGCAATATTATAGATTTGAAGAAAAGTGACAAAGCCTACTATATTTTAGAGACAGCCAAATTTAAAGTTTAGAACATTTCACCAAAAGATATGGGAACTCACAACTTCTAATTGATTAATTGTAATTGGGGATATTAGCTTGATGAACTACAACCATTTATTATACCTTGATTGAATCATATGTTTTAATTTTGCAATATTTGTTTTTTTTTTTTTGACAAAGTAAATGTTTTTTAGGTACTACTTTTTTGTAATATTTTTATATATATTATGCTACATTTCTTTTATTAAATAAGGGAAATTAAATTGAAGTGGTTCTAGCTTAGGTTGGGAGGAATAAAATTAGTTTAACAGTTAAGATATCTTGTTTATTGTACTAAAAAACCAGCAAGGTTAAAGAAAGAAGAGAAACTCAAAGTTGAATATGATTGGCTTAAATAGCTACAAAAATAAATAAATATAATCCACCTAAATATTATCCATGAAAGAGCTTATGAAGGAATACTTCATATTATTAGCCACCCTACTCAAAATTAAGAATTATTTATTCCTTAATTAGAAGATTTTAGTATTAAATGGAGTTTAATATGGAGAGTTATTTTGGTTTGCTCGAAAATTCTCCCCGAAAGGTCTATGTATAAGACTTTTTTGGTAGAATATTTTTATAGACGAATCGCAAATAATGTTGTGATAGAATAGAAAAATTACCCTCTTTCTCACATTCTATTAGAACTTAAGAATGACACAATCAAAAAGAAGATTAAAGTAAGTCTTTAAAAAAATAATTCCAAAGCGAGTATACTTCAACGGTAATTGACATATACTTCCAATCAAGAGATTGTGAGTTCGAATTTCCTCCCCCAACATGTTGTAATAATTAAAAAAAAAGTCTTTAAAAAAAATAACAACAATTTGTAATTATAAAGAATATTCCAAATTGAAAAATTCAATTTTTTTTAATACAAATTAACAGTAGGTGTTGAAAACGAGGAAAAATGAATATATAAATGATTTAAACCTGTAACCGTTTGATCTTCAGGTGCACACATGCCTATCATGGACTTTTCAAACCAAGTAAACAAATAGGATTAGTTATTTTTGCTGAGCGAATATATTATATATCCAATTTTCTTTTAGCTTTATTTTACTCAGTTATTCTATCTTCTTCTTGATGACCTCAATTATAAAGGGCTACTTACCTATGTGTAGAGAAGGAAAAATGAAATTTTTTTTGCACATAAAAATTACTTGT